AGTTCGAGAACATTTCCATCACTGCCCAGCGTTGGGCAGCACAGATCTAAGATCTTCTAAAACACAAAAATAAGATAGATGAAGAGGATAGGAACAGTAAGATTGTTGATAGCCCTTCAGGGAGATGAGCTATCTTTATACAAAATTTTTCCAAGGCAAGGCAGGCATCATTCTGTGTTGATTTTGGGTTGGTATATCTTCTGAAGGGGCATTTTATGTCTTTTTTTTTTTTTTAACATAAGTACAGTTAGCCACTTACCATTTCTTATACCCGTTTTGTAAGTTTGTTATTCTCCCTTTCCTGTAGATTAGAGATAGAATGCAGAAAGTTGCTCTCCAGGGCATAGGATGAAGGGAGCTACTGGTTCTTTTGTTACCACACTCCAAAAGGGAACCTGCAATTCGCCTGGCCTTATACAAGCTTGTTGCCCTGGAATTAATAACAGTTATATATTGAGTCAATTATTATAATTTTGGTAACATTTGACTGCTTAGAGGAACCTCAGAAGATTTTGCATATCCTCTGTTGATCTAGTTTTCTTTATGCAAAAATGGAGTAGGGAAGTAGGTCAGTGCCTGTGCTAAAAGCAAAAAAGTAAGCGCACTCATTTTTTTCTTCCCCAAACATCATTATATTTTCGTCTTGGCTCGGAGACTGATACCACCAGTGCCCGCTGGCTTGGTGCTCTCTAACTCATGGTCCGATTCCATATGGCATCTGTCCTAGAGGAGCCTCAGGTTTGGCTCCTCGCCAAAACCAAGAGCGGCATTGGCGCTCAGTCTCTTGTAGCTTGGAGGTGAGGTGCCGGCAGAGACACAGGCGCTTTCGTTGAAGGCCTGCACGTGACCCCTGGTTCCTCCAGGAACCTCAGCCTCCAGAAACCTGGCTCATGGAATAGTGAGTGATGACAATTGGCCTTAACATCTTAACGTGTCCAGATTCTGCAAACACCTGTTCTTAGGGGCGTGGCATTGGAAAAGTCACTTTACCTCCATGCCTCTCAGTGGCGTCATTTCCCAAACAGGGATGATAAGGCCACCCCGTGGAGCTGTTGCAATACCGTATGTCAAGTATGTGGGGAGTGTTCTGGCAAAGAGGAGGCTGTCAGTAAGTATTTGCATTCGAATGTGATTCCCCCACCGGGCTAGGTGCTAAAGATGGCTAGGGAGTGCAGAGAGAAGTGATCCAGTCCAATTTTCTAAGCCTGAGGTCAGTCTAGTAAATAGAAGATCTTGCTGAGACTGGGGGTCTCTGTTCCCATAATTATTCCTCTGTGAAGAGCACATGAGTTCTCTGTGGCCTCTGGCAGGTAGCCCCGGTAGTCTAACTGTGGACGCATCATTTCTGGCTTCCTTAGAAGTGTCAGCACGCACAGCCTCCTGAGGACAGAAGAAGTCAGTAAGTCTCTGCTAGAAACACGCATCAGCAAGGGAGAAAGCTGGGAGCGCAAAGAAGGGGGAGCTTGCCTGCATCAGAGCAAAGTGAACCAGCCTGTTGTGGTACCATTAGGATCTCGCGTGGGGGGTCAGCCATGTGGGGTTGGCGAGGGTTAGGGCCGCCTGTCCTGCACAGAGGCTTTTGATTGAGAAGATGTGCTTTAGCGGTAGTTTGTGTAAGAAATAGACGTCGTTGGAACTACTTAAGGGATTGTCAGGCACTTAGCATTTAACGATAATCTTTGGAACGGTTCTTTGCAAAATGGCAAGTAGTTCGGAAATGACGTGTCCGTGTGGGTGAGAGGTGCTCATTGATGTTACCCTGTGGGGATAGAGAGGAAGGGAATCCGTGGAGATGGAGACGTTGTTATGTGATTATTGAGAAAAATGTGTGTTTTAACATAGGCTCGATGGAGTATCAAGTTCAGCATTGACCCCTCCTTTCCATAGATAGTAGAAAGGGGTGTGTGTGTGTGTGTGTGTTTCCCTTAGCATGCCTTTTATTTGGCAGTGTGATTCTAGGGACCCAGCAGGATTTGCTCCTGGCCTTGTCTTCTCTCGGATTTACCCTGAGCCATTCCCTCACAGCCCAAGGGAGACCTGACACAGTGTTCGGCCACATGATGGATTAGAGATGTTTGTGCTTTGGAGCACGTTGGGCCTAGGTTTGAATTCTCCTTCTATAGCATATAAGCCAGTCATCTTAAGAAAGGAACTTAATTCTTCGATGATTGCATCTAGAAAATAATAGTTTCTCATCAGGTTGTTATAAGGATTAGAAATGAGGGTAAAACGCCTCCCACAGCATCTGGCATGTAAACCCTCACTGAAAGATAGGCAATGTTGTTTAGGGGATGAATTGCATTTGAGTCTCCTCTGTGAAAACCTGAGGACTGAGAAGAAGATTTGCAAAGGGTCAGTCATTTCCGAGCGCATTCCGAGTGCAAAGACGCAGTTTAACAGCAGGAGAAGCTCACACTGCTCAGACCCTTCTCCCGGGCTGCATTCCGTATCAGACACCCAACTCTGTGACATGGCATCTGTCACTCCCATTTTTTAAAAATTATTTATTTATTTATTTATTTATTTATTTATTTATTTATTTATTTGACAGAGCGAGATCACAAGTAGGCAGAGAGGCAGAGAGAGAGGGGGAAGCAGGCTTTGCACCGAGCAGAGAGCCTGATGCGGGGCTCGATCCCAGGACCCTGAGATCATGACCTGAGCCTAAGGCAGAGGCTTAACCCACTGAGCCACCCAGGCGCCCTTGTCACTCCCATTTTATAGACGAAGAGTTTAAGGCCCGGAGTGACACAGTTCAAAGGGGTGGCCCGGAATTCAGAGCCCATGCCCTGAGCCCTGACAGCCCGCTCAGATCAGAGATCTGCAGGCATCTCTGCAGGATGGCTGATGGGGAAGGTTTATAAATAGGCACCCACAGAAAGAGCAAAGGCATGAGGCGCCAGCCCTCTCATCAGCTTCCCTTCCTTGAGGCACCCCCATGAGTATTTCTTGAGGAAAGGAGAAAGGCCCCCGTGGGGCAGACAGTGCCGGGATGCTTGCTCTAAGTTCTGCTGTGAGGACTGGTGTACCATCCCCTAAACCCTCCATTGTATTAACTATGCTCTGTACAGACAAGATGCAAGAGCCCCATTTGTGGAACTTCCGTTCCCCCTTAGCTGAGACCTGTGGCAGTGCCTTCTGCTTTTCAGGCTCGCTGACTGTCAGCAGCGGTAACCACAGCCCTTCCTGGCCCAGAACTACATCTTGCCACACTCTCTGCTCCCAGTGAGCTGTGAGCACGACATTCTGTTCTGCGTGGGGCTCTGCCGCCCACACTGTGCGGGAGTCAGCTGGGGGGGGGGCGGTGGGGAGTGGGTTACAGAGTTTACTGAATCCTCCAAGGGCGATTTGTGAAGACGTAGAGGTGCCTGAGAACATGACGAGCGATCATCCCCTACCGCAAACAAGCGTCACCCTGCACCCAAATTGTGGAAGGCAGATTTTGCACTCGGTATTTTATTCGGCAGAACATTTTTTATAACAATAAGTTTGATTAGAGAAAAGCTCCGAAAGTGCTTCAAGTTAAGACAGTCTGATTGTTTATCTCAAGAATTTAAAAAAAAAAAGAAGTGGTAAACTGGGAGGGGTCAGAAGAAGTGGAAATCGGAGCCAGGACCTAGTGAAGAGTATTTGCTGTCATTTTCCTCTCAGGATTAAATTGAATTCAAGATTTCTCCTCTCCACAGGCTTTTTGTTTGTCTTTTAGCCATCACGCAGGGTCTTTTTTATCCGGAGCTTGGGGCGACCCGAGCTAGGTCCACAGTGGACGGAAGGTACTCTGGTGGTCTTTGATTGTGGGCTTTAACCTAATAAGGAACCCCGCTTAAGATCCTTGAGTGTCTTCTCATTATTTCCCCCAGGCTACCCGGAAATAAGTTTTAGTCCCTGTGGCCCCTTTTTGACCTTTCTGCCTCCTGAGCTGGGGGCTGGCAGTGGCCATGGAAGTGGCTCCGTAGGTACTGTATCTGCCCGCCGTGTACTTGCTTGGGTCCATTTTATTTTCACAGGATGGGATGTGAAGTCAGGAACCCAGTACTGCCAGTGAATGCCGCTCAGGGCATTCAGCCTTGTCACTTGGCAGAGTGGATGGGTTTAGGGTACATTCAGGAGAGTCGGGGTGGGGGTGGGGGGCGAGAGGAAGGAGGTAGGGGATTTTGCTTTACTGTTTACTGCAGCTCAAATAGAAGGGATCCAAAGTTAAAAAAAAAAAAAAAAAGAATGCCTTCATCATCATATTACATGACGTTGACTAGAACGGCAGAACTCTAAAACTGAGCGTTCTCTCTTCCAAATGACGGTTTTGGAAAACAGCATTAAAGAAGACTGATATGTAAAAGCTCATGGTCTCGCTCTTTGTATCAGCCCCAAATATTGACTGAAGCCAGGAGAAGAAAAGGCAGACTTTCCTCTTTTCTCTCCCAAACGTGTGATTGTTTAGAACTCAAGTACAACATCTGGAAGTCAGATATACAGAGAGCAATTTATGGAGTGTGAAAGATTTGAAATATTCAGTGTCCTTTAGTGGGAACTCAACTTTCTGGGGCTGCATTTTTTTTTTTCCAGCACAAAGCAGGCATTTCTGAGATGGCCTTTGCCTCTCTGAATTAAACCCTTTGTGCCTGGATCCCATAAACAATGTGCTTTTTAAATGGGAGCCCCCTCCCTGCCCGGCCCTTTTCTCCAGCGTGGGCAGCCAATGAGCTGCGCCGAGCCGCATTGCTGGAGCACTTTCCATTCTGAGCAGCAACAACGTCCTAATTTGATGCACACATGGATGCCTCGCGCACTGTGCAAATTCATCACCAACGTCTTGCATTAGTCATCTGACGGACTGCCAAGTGTTTCATTTTCTTTTCATGTGACTTTATTATTACCACCTCTCTCCTCTCTTCCAAAACCCTCCAAAAGGCGCGGGGGGCGGGGGGGGGGGCGGGGGGGGGGAGAATCCAACAGAAATCCAGCCCTCCCCTTCTTTGCACACGAGAGCCAGCGTGGGGCTGATAAGGCTGCCGATGCGTTGGTGGCAGCCTTGCAGAGCGAGACCTGCACTTAACTTGCAGCTGCCTCCCGAGCTTCAAGATGTCCACGCCCCGGGTGACAGCCGGCGGGGCGCTGCCCTGTGCTCGGGCGGCGATGCTGAACCGCAGCCTGCAGTGAGAGCCCGCAGCCGCTGCTGCCGCCGAGCAACCTAATGGTGCCTGTGCTTTGTTTTAGTTCATCAAATTTCTCCGACTCATTAGGCACTTTGCCCCGTGCTCCTCTTCCTCCTCCTTCCGCCTCCCCGCCCCCACCCCCACCCCCATTTTTTTTCTTCCTGTCCCTCACCGTGCAGCCCTAACTCTGGCTCCCGGTTCCCTTTTTGACAGTAACGGCACAGCCAACAAGATGAACGGCGCTTTGGATCACTCAGACCAACCAGACCCAGATGCCATTAAGATGTTTGTCGGACAGATCCCCCGGTCCTGGTCGGAAAAGGAGCTGAAAGAACTTTTTGAGCCTTACGGAGCCGTCTACCAGATCAACGTCCTCCGGGACCGGAGTCAGAACCCTCCCCAGAGTAAAGGTACAGACCGCTGGGGAGGGGTGGGGGTGGGCGCGGGGTGGGGTGGAGGGGGGCGCGCAGTCGGGGGTGCCGGGGTTGGAGGGGTCGGGGGGGGGGGGGCAGGCGGGCCCTGCGGGGCTGCCCAGCGCCCCAGGGAGGGAGGACCACGAGGGGAGCCGCCGCCGCCCCGGGGCTCCGGCCAGCCGGGCTCCTCCCCGCGCCGGCACCCGCGCCCCCGCCCCGCGGCACAGGTGGACCGAGCCGGCCTGGGACTGGGACGCGCGGGAGGGAGGAGTGGCGGGAGCGCGCGGCCGCGCCTCTGTCCAGGCGCGTGATTGCTCTCCCGAGGTCACTTCCTCGGCGGCGCAGGCTCCTCTCCGGCGGAGTGCTTGCCTCTCCCAGGAGCGGTGTTGCTCAGCCTGGCGTTGCGGGAGCGAACTCTTTCTCCCTCTGCCTCCCCGTTCTTGCCGGTGCAATTACCATCGCACTGGACTTTTCCATAGCCTGTGGGGACCCTGAGATGCCTCCCGCACAGTTAGTGCAGTGCCACTGGTGTAAGGAAGAAAGGGTGTACTTTTTCAGAGGGACATCAATTCTTGGGGCTTAGATGGGGATCCTTAAGTGAAATGTGCCTTTTCGGGCGGGAAGAAGCACCCTAGTGGCCTGAAATAGTTAGCACACCTTCAGAAATGCCTGTGGTTTACGCCCTTGCCAGTGGTGAATTTCAAGTGTACAGTCTGGTGGTTTTTACTGCCTCCATTTTAGGACGAGGGTGATGGGGAGAGGGGGTTTCAGTTATTAAAATAGAGATCAGAAACCTCTTTACGGCGCGGAAGCTTCTGTGTACTGGAGACATTCTCTATAGGCTCTGTGCAAACTAAATTTAAAGAAAAATCTTCTCTGCTGCTTGCTACTGTTCAGTCTTTGCGGATGTTCTAACCTTGCTTTCTTATTTTTGTTCTTTCTGTTCTTGATGTCTTGGGCTATCTAACCCTGTCTTCTGAGTGGATCTTGCACTTCGTTTTTCTCTGCTCCTTGGAAATTGGGTCTGCCCTATTAATTTATTTCTCTGTTGCCTCTCAGGAGAGGTCCTGCAAACTCATGGTTGGGCTTTGTACTTGTGGTTGACTTGAACGCATGAACATTGGCACATACTTTTTCTCTGAGCCTCCTTCCTCCTGTCAAGGTGAAGGGAGAGGAGGAAATCATCTTTGAGACTAATGCTTTGTGACCCCGAGAAATGGTGGGCTACCTCATGTTCTCTCTAGCTGCTGCAGTCTGATAGCACTTTGGGGAACCTTTGAAGAATTTTAAAGCCAGCACTCATTTTATAAGGGTGGACAGACACACCTTCAGATTTTGTTCCTAGGACTCTGTTTTCTGTCTCAAGGCGTCTAACACCAATAGTGTTCTTGGCTTACGTGGGATTTTGTCCCCACAAACTCGATTGTCCCGTAATTTGAAAAAAAGAAAATCACCTACCTAAAATTTAGTAGGATTAAAAATGTCACAAATTGGGGCAACATTGAGAAGGTTGTCGATAATATTCCTGAATTATTTACCTGCATTACTCCCAAATGGAGAAGACTAGAATTTGTTTTAATATGTAATTTCCGTAGTATCCTACTGGAGGAAAGATGGTACAGTGCACCAGACTAGTGCTAAAGAGTCCCCAAATAAGGGCCGGAGAACAAGGCCAGGGGCAGTAAGTGAGGGTTTTGGAGCCGTGGCCATACTTCATCCCAGTCCAGGAAAACATACCTCCAAATTTCAGTTTGTCAGCATTTTTCAGGATGACCTCTAACATATGTGATCAAAGCTCATTTCTTCTGTTGCCTGATTACTTGTGTTTTATTTGACACAAAGCCTGCCTTAGCCAGAAGACCCTCCTTTCAGTCAGAAAAGTGTGCATGGCCTAGTGCTTCTACCATTTTCTCTCTTTTCCCCAGCGTTCCCCTGAACACTGTCTTGACCTGGCCGTGCTTGAGACTATACATTTTGTTGACCTCATTCACTAGGTCTTACAACCAGCCTCATTTAAATAGTTGGCATAAGCCCACTGTCTTGGAGGGGGGAGGAGGCCAGAGGAGGGAACCAACTTTTTTGAGCATGTAGGCTACGCACCGGGCTGTTTTAGGAGTCCATTCCTTTAGGTCTTGCGAAAATCCTGAAAGTAGGTGTTGTTGGTCACATTTTAGAGATGAGGAAATGGAGGCTCTGTGGAAGTTAAGCAACAGCCCCGCGGACTCAGCTAGTACGTAGCAGAGTAAGAAATTGAACATGTTCCTCCTGTCTTTGTGCGCTCTCCCGCCATGTGCTCACCTCGCGGAGATGAGGCCACACACCAGCTTTGCGCCATGTCAGGGTGTGGGTCAGAGGCCTTCTCCTGTACCTAAATGCTCCCCCAAATGAAGGGAAGGAATTCTGCCTTTCACGAGCAAGGTTGATTTGGTCCCTGCCTTCGCGTTTGGTTTTCATGCTCACGGGTTTAGATCGTACAGGATTCCAACCCATGGTACCATGGGATAGAAGCTACAGATGAAATCATTCAAATCTTACCTCTGGAAATATAGGTCAATTCCCATTACTGCGGACTCCAAATCTCACATCAAATATTGCTTGAAGGACGTGGGCCGTCAGCCAAAGCTTGAAAGGATTTTTGTTACACAGATATCTCTGTTTTAACGGTGTTTGTTGTGATGGGATTTGAGCTGCATAATGACATTCCCTTCAGAGGATTACAGCCCTTAGCCACTTGCGGCCACAGCTTGTCTCGACCTCATACCTGTGTGCGCCACGCGGTATTTTCCTGTGCACACGTGCCGTGGGACCTCACGTTTGCCCTGGTCCAGACTCTGTCAGCAGAGTATGGTCACCATGTCTTCCCAGGGCTGATGGCACAGCTTCAGGTAACAGAATTTTCTACATAACCGTGGTCTGAATGATCTACACAGGCCTCTTGGTGTGGCCTCGAGTCATTGCCTCCCTGACACGAGTGCTTCCAAGGAAGGAGACAAAATCAGGTCATTACCTAATCCAGGTGCATTAGGTTTTTCCTGTCATTGCGCACCTGATGTCCTTAAGCCTTGAAGCATCAGAACTTTCTTCTGTATTTTTAAGGCATCCTCTAACAGTTAGAGCCCAGACTGTCTGTGCCTTCTCCCTATTAATGTATGCATTGGCTTAGCAGAGTCAGCAACTCGGGGGAACCCAGCTCAGTGAACTGTCCCATGTCCCGCGACTCATGGAGATGATGTTTTATTTGGAGCTGTTGGTCAAGTCTATGGGTGGTGGGAGATACCACCCCGTAGTTCAGAGCACTGGTTTTGAAGTCAGACAAGCCTAAATTCAAGTTCTGGCCCTACCACGCCTTGCGCATGTTACCTAATCTCCATCTGAGGAGGGAGGCTCCGCTCCTGGGGTGGCTGAGATGAAGGTGGGAGGAGCTTGCGTGGCGCTGCTGACTATTACAGGGGCTGTTATCATCGCTGTCCCCAGGAACCTGCGATCTAATAGGGACAATGAGGCCAGCGCACAGGGAACGATAATATTGGAGACCATGGGATAAGGATGAGAAAGAGGGGCCTGTTTGAACTCTGGAAGCTCGGGGAGGGAATGAATACTTAGCAGCTGCGGAGGCAGGAAGACATGGCATCTTTTCCACATCTCCAAAGAGAAAAACAGGATTTCCTTAAGTAAAGACAGTATTGAGCATTACAGGTGGATGGACGGGCCTGATTTCAAGCATGGAGGTGGGACGTGTGGGGCAGGTTCTGGGAGCTGTGAATCCTGCCAGAGTCCAAAGGAAACATGAAGTCCATGAAATGAAATGCCAGCGGGGAAGGTCACGACACCTGGGAACAGAGGCCGGAGCCAGTTCTTAGAAGGCCTTCCCTCTCAGGCTAGAGTCTAGAATTTGATGGGAGAGACCGTTGAGGGTCTGCGAAGGCCATGGCAGTGCGGGGAACAGGGACCAGGAGACCGGTGAAGTGTGTCGGCTGCCGCCCACGGGGCCTGAACAGAGATGCTGGTGGCCGTGGCGACGGCGTGTCCTGAGTGACACAGACATGGCGGTGGTGGAAAGAAAGGAGGCTTGATAGCTCAGCTGAGGCGGGGCTGAGCCGGAGGGCTTGGCCTGAACCGGGAGGCGTGGGGAAGCAGCAGCAGCGGAGGGAATGGGAAGGAGAGGAAGCCTGAGTTCAGCTTTCAGCCCGTTGAGTCTGCGGTGCCACGGTAGCGTCAAGAAGGATGTGGGCTAAGGAGAGCCACTGGCTTTGGTGGCCGGGAGGGTGCGAGAGCGTTTCAGAAGGTGGAGGCCGTGGGTTGTGTAGGTTTACATGTGGGCCTGTGCGTAGAGACTGCCCTTTCTAGTGGGCCAGCCTTTTTTTTTTTTTTTTTCCTTTAAAAAACTAATAAACACATAGAGCAAAAGGACATATTGAAAGCACAAGAAAGACCAGAACCAGGGTGTTTGAGGAGACAGGGTGGCTGAAGGGCACACGGAAAAGGGTAGAAGGGGACCTCAGCTGAGACAGCAGAGCCCTTAGAAGGAAGTAGCAACAAGTACGTTTCAGTGTCCTGGAGCAAAGTGGACAGTACAGGTGCCCCCGTCTTCTCAGGAGACAGGTGGAGGCCGGTGGAACAGAAGGTGTGAGGAGAAGGGATCTGACTTAAAACGACTGCTTTGGAAAAGTCCAGTGTGAAAGAAGAGCGGGGTTGCTGACGAGCAGGGAGGCCCCGTGACCCTGGGAGGGTGAAGACTGGGAGTAGGGCCCTGAGGCTTGGGGCTCTGTGAGCGAGCCCAGACTGGGGATCACCTGTCGCCGGTGAGGCCCTGGACGGGCAGGGGACAAGGTCAGTAAGGGTACCAGAGTGTGGGGACTGTTCCCTGAGACCTGAGGTAGGGGGGCTGGTAAGGGCAGAGGGGACGCTCTGGCCTGGGGCTGGCAGTCGTGAGCGAGGCCCGGTGGGGGTGGTGTGTTCGCAGAGCCCACACCCCGAGCCTCCACGTAGGGGTAAAT